AAAAATTTGTTTGTGCGAAAAAAAGGGGGGGGGGGGGGGGAGATGTTGGTTGTTTTTCTTCCGCGGGAACAACTGTTTCTAACAAAGGAGCATTCAGAAGGCAAAACAGTGACAAATTTCAAGATGGCAAAAAATATAATTTCCTGTAAGCACTGGATTTGCTGTCAAAACAACCCAAACCCCTTTTTACATAACGTGAGATGCTCTGACTAATAAACTTAAATGCAGTTCAAAACTAGCTCCAGATCTCAAAATTCTTCCTTATGTGAATAATCCCTAGGAATATGAAGATGGGTTTGCAGAATCTGCTCTTCATTTGCTGCTGTACTAAAAATGAGGAAAAAGTTAGCTTAAAAGGAACACTAGCATTTAACATTTTGCTACATCCCTCATGGTTCACAAACCCCACTACACCTTTGAAAATTCTTCTTTTGAGTAAAAGGCATTTACTTTTACAGCAAACAAGAAAAACATTAAAAAGTTTGTTACTACACAGACTTTCAGACTTGGAGATTTCTGGTGTTTTTATTCCTTTTGGATTTCTCTTTAAAAGAACACCCCCTTCTCTCTCCCCTCATTTTGCCTAATCTAACTTTTCTCCTTTTTTGTGCACAGATATTTAAGATCAAGAGTTATGGGTATCTGAAAGCCAAATCTGTCATATCACTAGAATTAAAAAAAAAAAAAAAGAGCTACTTTCTGTATTACAAATTCCAGAATGAAAATCTTTTCACTGCTTTTTAGAGTCCCCATCAGACAGATTTCAGACATGGAGGTATTGAATTATCATTTCTTGACTATTTTTTCTCCTATAAGAACTCTTGAATATGTCTACATAGCATTTGCCTTACACTGGGTAAATTTTACAACTTTTTGGCAGAAGAAAGCTAGTCAGCCAGAGTAAGCTGCTACACATCTTCACTGATTTAAATGAAGCCACTCTAACTAGACTAATATTTGAAGATCTAGTACTTTCTTTTATTAAAAAAAATCCTTTGAGAACTAGAAACTACTTATTTTCATACCTCCTTATTTAAGAAATAAACTAGAAATCAACACTAGCTTAAACATCACTGCAACACGGGTGCATCCTTCACGATAGGAGAACAGAGGGCAGAAACTTATTTCGTAAAGTTCATTCCGAATGTGGGTATTAATTATTTGAAAGAAATAACTTACTTGCAGATACAAAGAACTGGCTTTTAAATACTGGTAGCTTGTAGTAGCCATCCACTCAATTTAGCTAAGCTGCAGCAGAGGCATGAATCCATTACCTGTAGCTATTATTTCAAACCACTTACTGTTCACTTAATCTTTTTGTATTTTTTCAAGTCACTCAAAGAACATTGTATTTTATTTTTCAGTTTGTTACCATCTGAGAAGCGTATTATCTGTTGCTCTAAGGAGCAGATCTAGTGTGTAAATTCATTATTTGTCTTTGCTTGGGATGCCTTTTACATATCTTTAACAAGCTGTAGGAGAAACCAGTATCTCAAAGAGTCATTTTAAATAAAAATCTGGATTTTTGTTAATCTATTATTCCCCCCAAACCAAATGCTTTCACTATGGAAAGGAGACATTCACTAAGAATTCATTCTCTCTCTTCATTTTATTCCAGAATAAGAAGTAACAGCTACCATGATGAGATAACATTAGATTAATATTTGAACCATTTTTTCAAGTCACTAAACAATTGCTATCTGCCAAACCCAATCTGATTCCAAATGTATGGAATCAATAAAGTAATTTTATAGCATTATTATGACAAAATGTTGCCATGAAGTTATTTAAATATAAAACAAAAGATAGTATCTGAATAATATTTGCCTTGGTTAGCAATAGGCAATTTTAACTATTTCCTTTCAAGTTTGAAGGTTGAAACAATTATTAGAGGCTTCCACCTTTCAATTTCTGGTGTCAGGAAACAGTTATAATCTATCTTCTGTCCTGCATAACAATTGACATGAGGGAACCTTATTCAGAGTTAAGTTTTAAGTCAAAATAATTTAGATTCTTTCTTACATATTTAATACTACACAGAGGAAGAAGCAAAACTCATTTCCATAAAAATCTAGTATGCAGCTAGTGGAATACATTTCTAAGTTTTCTGTAAGTAGTATTCAGCTTGTTAATTATGGAGTAATAAAATATTAAAGAGTTACTGAATTGTTTACTTTTTGGATTAATTCCTTAATACATGTGAACCTCCCACCATTTTCAATGGAAAACAATACATTTCTTTTCTGTTTACTTGTTTACCACCAACTTGCCACAGGTGACGCTAACTGTAAAAATCTCCAGGCTAAAATATGTGATGTAGTAAGGACAGCTTCAGGAAAAGCAAAACAAAAAAATCCACAAACAATTTTTTGTGTGCCATAAAATGCAACTCACTAATAAGTAGATTTTTGACCTGGTTACTCCCCAGTAGGGATCTGAACTCGTGGGAGAAACCTGGTCAGCTGCCACTGCTTTTCTTAAAAAGGGTCAAGATGTTTTAAAATTTCATGGTCATTTCCCTGGCTCCAGAGCATTATGAAAAGAAATATGTAAACATTACTGATGCTGCCAAATTGGCAGACTTCTAGCCTATGAAGGTCCAGAAGAACATAAATGGACACATCTAGCAATGGGTAAACAAGTCTGATTTCAAAATCTGTTTCCTGGCTAAGCTCACCCATGTAGACATTTGCAGAGCTACAATATCCTCAAACATTAGTATACTATAAAGACTACCAAAAGTTGTTTTGGGTGGGTTTTTTAAATAAAAATTTGGGATCAAGTTAATAGCTTAATATTTGATTTTCTCATCTTGACTTTTTATTTCTGTTTTAGTTTATCCTTTAGAAAAGGTGTGTAAAGTTTGTGTTTTATGGAACAGCTAAAACCATGGCATGGCCTGAAACACATAGATTTCTTAAGGTACTTCTAGAACACTGAAAAATCTGTAATATTTAGTTGCCATATGCTGTGGAAAAATACAATTATAATATTATCTAGCTTTATTATCCTCTGCTAGATGAAAAGGCAACTTTTCTTTTTTTCATTTTTAAATACTTACCAGATGATGCTATCTGTTTTTACAAATGTTCTTCAATGTAGCTGACACAGGACTAGACACCTTTCTCTCTCAAAACCTATCTAAATTTATTCAGTGAAATAGACTCAGCTAAAGAGCAAAAAAGGCTCTCAAACAATTCATTCTAGTCTAAAATAAGCAGTGCCTCCAGAATAAAAATTGCCATTACAGTAATTTATGTACCTACAGAAATGATTAAATCAGTTTTAAATTCCGTATTATTTTTCAAACTTACATTATTATCTGCACATGCATTATGAATCTGCCTCTATTTTTCTGACTTATGATCAAAGAAATGTAATCATTTTCAGAAACAAAAACATCCATGCCAATGAAAAATCAAACTAAAAGTTCTCCTCTCCATCAAAAACCAGTATATTTTGAGTAGTATTTTAACATACTTCTGGCTTGTTAGAATGAATGAGATGATACAAAATAAAGAGACCCTTCGGAATATTACCACAGGGAGACAGATACAGTTCTATCTGATCATTATTCTACAAAAATGATCTTACTACAGGACATCCTGTTTTCAATGATTAGGAAAGAATCACATTAATTCATAAAAATATATCCTCTGTTCCATTAATTTAAAGAGGACTTTTTGATTGTATACAGAATAACCACATGCTAAAAATAATGCTAGGAGAATGAAAATGTCAGCAAAATAAACAATACCCCACAACTTACAGGTTAGGAACTTGCTAACTACATATAAAGCTGTTAAAACAGAATCAGTATGTAGGCAAGTAGTCATCAGCAATATTTCCCTCTTTTTATGAAAACCAACAGCAAGCATTTCATCCCAACATCCCTCCTTTCCAAAAAAACAGAACATCTATTCTATAAACAGCTGTGCATAGTCCAGTACATGATAAAAATTAACAATATGTGAATACTCACATTCATTTAAATCAGGATAAATTTCGAGAGATTATGTTAACTTGCATCAAAATCATGTTTATTTTAGATGCAGAAGTTTACATAAAAAATTCAATCAGAAATACTAAGAACAGACAATGCATAAAAATCTTTATGCTTCAAATAAGCAGTATTGCAGATATCAAAGGAAAAAAAAATCAGAAAATATTGCTGAAGAGAACAAATACACTTCAACAAACAGAAAGCTACCTTGCATTTTGTTAAAGTTCTCTTAATGCAGCAGCTCATTTTTTGTTACTGTTAAATGAATCTCTCAACAGCTACTCTAAATTCAGATTTCCACATTATTGTTCTTAAACCTTCTCTCTTCAGTAGAATGTGCTCTGCAAGATTATTTGAAATACTTAAAAGCACAAGCAGGTGTAAAACAGACTGATGTCAGTTTTCTTATCACCCAGTACACTATCTCACAACTACAAATACAAAGACAAAAATAACATGCAAAATATTTAAAGGTTTCTGCAAAAAAAAAAATAAATAGTACTTTTTAAGTATTCCATACACACCTAATGTTCTGTGTTGTGAACAAGGTGGAAAGAAGACACTTGCACTTAAATCTTGAAGCATCCCGTCCCGATGAACCCAGAGAAACTAATTTCTGCCATCAGAAAAGTACTCCACCAGAACACCAAATAATTATATGTGCTGCTCTAAAGGAAACAGCAAGCCCAGTTCTGGCTGTATGTAGTCTCTCGAGGTACAATAATATAAACCTGATCAATTGCAATTAAAATCTGAACAGAGGCTTAGAACTTGAAGTCTTGGTGCATTAGTTCTTGCCAAAAGCAGATGTGATTGTGAGCTGGAAGCAATTTCTCCTGGTAATTTGTGATGACACTGGGTAGAGCAGCCCCAGAGTCCCCAAAGACAAACTCATCAGAGGCTCTAATGTATGCATGACACATGAGGTGGCTCTTTTAGAGCTCAATTAATTGGGCTGAACATTAAGACAGCAAGTTCAGGACTTTTTTTTTTTTTCTTCCCCCTCCAGAGTTGTTTTTCCTCTTTTTACAAGCAGTTTTTTCCCTTACCTTCTGCAAGCCATGTCTCCTGTAATTGGCTGAGATCTTGAAAGAGTTCTGCAAAAAGATGAAGACATGGATAAAAGACTCACACCTTTAATCTCTTCATAAGATTAAAATGTGTTCAAAAATATATTTTTCCTGAAGAACAATGTATGTGAATTCTATTCTGGCAGTCAAACATACAGACAAAGTAGATATTTTCGGGTTGCAGGTAATTTTTCTACACCTATTAATAAAAAAGAAGTACTTACTGTATTATTTTATCATCTCTTGAAATAATAACCAGCATCTTAACCAAGCTCTGTAGTATAGAAGGCAATATATAGAAAAGTTAAAAATTATAATCTTTCTAACAGGTGAACTATTTCTCCTTATACAATTCAGGCCTCCTCCTGCAATATCTGCCCCAGATAAAGCGCTCTCGGACTTCAACAGGAGCTCTGCCTGAGCAATGACTGACTATTTTTATTAGTAGGGTCGTTAACTATCACATAAAAATTTTGAAGCAAGGACCTGAGAGGCTGCAATAGCGAACAGAAATGGGACATCTTTTCTACTTCCCCTTATGTTTTACTTTGTATGACAAGAGAATCATCACTATTTCCTCTATGCTGTACTCACTGTACTTTAAAGTGAAACTACTTTCTCCATAGACTGAGTTTTGCAGCAGCTTATCTTTTTTTGCAATTCACTGAAATCAATTGCTTATAATGGCTGTAAACCAGAGCACCATTCGGCTTACTTGCAAAGCTCAGAAACTCAGCTATGAAAATTCTGTTTACTAAGACTAAGTAGGATATTTAAACTGACAAATGGTTTATTTTTAATTTACTGTATTTTTAGAGAGACTTCCTCTTTTATGAATGCTGACAGATAACTATTTACATAGACTTAAACGACAGAGGCTATTCATTTATCCTGTGGACTGATACCTCATGTTCATGTTGGGAAATCATTTAACTGAAAATGAGAAAGTTTTTTCTTTTCAATCTACCCTAGAATAAACTTTTCCAAACAAGTAAGTAGGGATTTTGAAGTGTATCAGTGTGTCCTCACCCTGATAAGATTTATATACCGCAAGTTATAGGCCCCTATATACCTTCCTATATGTCTTACGTACTTACAGGGGCATAGGCATACCATCTATACTGACCTTGTAACCTAAAGAAGTGTTAACAGCTATTGCTAGACTACAGTTCTCAAGCTACAGTCATGTGAGTGGCAACTGATGGGACTAAGTTACAAATCTTTGGCCCTCCAAAACTTTGTCCACTCTAGACTTCCTTAACCAAATTTCCCAGGATTTTTAACCCGACCAGTGTTACACAGCAATAGAAACAGGCTACCAGACACCAGCAGCCTGACTACTAGCTCTACAGTAAAGCTAGAGTGAAAACCAACAGTCTCCACATCAGCATTCTCACTCCTGGTACCACCAGTGAACACACACCAGTGAAGAAGATGTTAAAAGATGGGAGGAATGAGGAAAACCCTGAATCTCAAGAGGCCCAAAGGTGAAAATGCCAGCTGCCATGACTTGTGTTAGATGTTGCAAAGGCTTGGCCTCAGTGCATGACATCCGTGTGCCACATGTGCAGGAGTACCTAAAATGCAACAGGGTAAGTCACAGAAAGAGTATCAGCTTTATCAGTTTATTGCCTTTGCCAGTTTATTTTGCAGTAGTAAATGCAATTTTCTTGTCTTTTCGGATTGATCTTGATATATTTATCTCCAAAATAAATAAATAAAGAGCTCTCAGAAAGCTTTTCTGCGTTACGGGGGGGGGGGGGGAGGGGACAGGGGGGAACAACAAGCCCTCACCTTCTGAATCATGAGCCAGGTCTCTGTTAATGAATTTTCTTTTCCTGACATTTGTCGGTCTCTCATTACAGTTTCTCCCACGCGGATTCTATAAACAGGAAAGATCAGTTACTTTAGAAATCTGAGGGGGTTGGTTCCTTTTTTTTTCATTTAATCAAGAATACTCAAAGCCGACATGAATTCTTTACATTTTCAAACAGGGAAATGATCATCTTGCAGTCCCCAATTTCTAGCAAAAGATACTGCTAAGCACCTAACATCCTCCAAAAGATTCCTGTGTCCAAATGCAACACATTTCCAGCTATCTATGTAGACATCTATTTGTACAGATACATATATAATGTGTTCAAGCAGCAACACAATGCCAACCATGTATTTTTAGCATCTAAAGTACACAAACCTACACAACAGCACATAAATCCCTCTGCATAAGCTACGCAGGAAAACCCAGATACGAGATTATAATAGACTGTTTTGTTTCCCTGTGTTACTTATAACATTGTTTGCAAAGTCCTGAAAGCAAAGGAAAAAAAAAAAAGGAAGAAAAAAAATGTTAACGTTTGCCTCAACTTCATTCTTCTGCGCGTTGCAGGCAAACACAGCCAGAAACTTTGAATGCAGCTGCTGCTGCTCTCGCCTCTCTCATCCGCTAATCATGTGCATGATTTTTTAATCATCCCAAAACTGTCTTTAAAAGAACATGATGCTTTACTGAAATAACTAAGAAGATAGGCTCATCTTGCAGGCAAAGCTCCCAGATGAAGAGTCACCCCTACAGCAGTAACAAAGCGCATACTCTGTCTGCAAAACTCCCCCACAGAAATAAGTCGGAGTCAAGTTTATAAACACCAACTTCGAACTGATCACTCACATTGGTGACCATGTAAGGCACTTGCTGGTCATAAAATCCATCCATTCTGCAGCTCTTCCACAAGTCTTAGCTCAGTGTTTTATTTACTGGGCATTTGATCTGGAGATTTCCTCGGGATCTGGACTCCAATCAGCCTAGAGGGGAATACAAGATGGCTTTTAGATTAAAAAAAAAAAAAAAATCATGAATGAACTACTTGAATTTGCATAGCTAATTAACCTCAAAGACTCCCATTCATAAAAACAACCCTCCCTTCTCTGCCTTCACCTGGGTTACACGCTTCTGCCAGGAAAACACGGAGCAAAAGCACTTGGAGGCAGCAGCAGAAAGCAAGGCGAGAGGCAGGGTTTTATTTACACTCCCCGCCGTATCCCCCGGGCGATCCGCGCAAGTGGCAGCCCCGACTCTCGCAAACGTGTGCTCAACTCGTAATGGCGAACGGCGGGGCTCGCCGCGCACCTCACGGCAGCGGCGGCGGCGGC